TTTGGGTTGGGCAATAGCTGGCACCGGCCACATCCCAAGAATGAAGTTTTTTTAAAGCAAGCCATTAAATGGTGTCTTGAGGACAGCCTCATGCCCATTTTCTCTCAAACAACTTGGATACTAGCCCTTCCCAAAGCTACCAACTACAGTTTGATCACGTCCTTCCAGTGCCAACAGTCCTGCAATATCAGAAAACCTTACCCCTCCCCATTTCTAACACTCCTATAGCTGAAACTAAAAACAATCAATGAGTGTTTATTTTGATGTGGTAGCGGATTACTTTCATTCTTTTAAAAGTTTGTTCATTGGATGTGGGTGTTGCTGGCTAGGCCAGCATTTATTGCCTATCCCCAAATGCCCCTTGAGGTGGTGGCACTGAGCCATCTTCTTGACCCACTGTAGTCCTTGGGGAATAAGTACACCCACAATGCTGTAAGGAAAGGAGTTCCAAGATTAAAAAGCTCCTGAGGGCAACCTTTTCATGCAGAGGGTGGCATGTGTATGAATGAGCTGCCAAAGGGGTTGGTGAGGCTGGTACAATGATAACATTTAAAAGGAATCTGCATGGGTACATGAATAGGAAAGGTTTAGAGCGATATGAGCCAAATGCTGGTTAATGGGATTAGATTAATTTTAGGATATCTGGTTGGCATAGACAGGTTGGACCGAAGGGTCTGTTTCCATGCTATACAACTCTACGACTCTGTTTTGACCCAGCGATAGTGAAGGAATGGCTGATCTAGTTCCAAGCCAGGATGGTGAGTGGGTTTGGAGGTGAAATTTGCACAGCTTATTAAGGTGCTGTAAAAAGAGCTTTGGTGAGTTACTGTGCATCTTGTAGATGAGGCACAAAGCTGTGACTGAGCATCAGGGTGGAGGGAGTCAATGTTAAAGATGGTGAACGGTGTGCCATTCAAGATGCTGCTTTATCGTGGATGGTGTAAAACTTCTTGAGCATTGTCATTCTCCTGGGTTTGTACACAAGTTGTCCATAAAGCTAATCTACTATTCCTGGAGAGTTGGCAACTCTACCTGTTATCAATGACAGCGTCTGCAAGGTGAAGGAAAAACTCCAAATGTCATGCTGCAAACTGCCACCACCCACAGAAAGCTACCAAATCCTACCGGCAATTCGACGTCTGTTGCTTCCGTCAATCTTTCACTGCCCCGGGACTCGCAGAGATCTCTCACGACCAGGCGTCGCCCATTGTAGATGGTGTTGTTCAAGTGATTGACAGCCAGCATCACGTTTTCAGCATCCCCCACATCAACAAAGGCATAGCTGCCAAGGAAAGAAGTGAACATCGGGAATGCTGCAAGGGAAACTATCACCAAGCAGATCTCTCCACCCTTCAAAGCCCTCCAAAAAAAACCAATCAACCACAACTCTCACATTTACTGCCTATCCCAAGGTGCCCTAAAGAGGTAGCTGATAACATCTCGTACAATGGTAACTTGCTAGTAACCCACATCTAAAACATTGCACAGACTGGGTAGGTTTGTTTTCAGCGAACCCATTTTTGGCCGCTTTTGTGCTAATGTTCTTTCAGATGCAAGCTGGAATTCGATTCCATAGCTTAGCACGATCCCTGGTGCAGACCCATTACTGTTAATCACCAATGGTTGGTTAACTTCAGCAGCCATCGGCATGGAAGAATTTAGTCAGTGCTTTCAAATGGGACAGTGAATGTCTGACTCCACGTTGCTAGGAGTCCTTTTTTTCTTTCTCCACATCACTCTGAACCCCCTCCACATACAACTGTTCAACACTTTGCATGATTTGAAATTGCAAGAGTTGGCAGAGAATACTGGAGCGGACTGTTCCTCTTCAAGCAGTTTTCCCAGCGAGGGCCACAGATGAATGGGACAGCGTTTGTTTCCAAGCCCCTCTATATCCTCACCTCCCCACCTCTGTAATCTCTTTCAGCCTCGAAACTCCTCCTTATCTCTTTACAGCCTGTCCCGACTACCTCCTTGGTGCCTCATGGTCGAATTTTGTTGGCAAATTTTCTCCCTGCGTGAAACACCTTGTGATGCCTTACTATGTTAAAGGACAAAGGTGCTCTTTCAGTGCAAGGTGTTGCCGAACCATAAATCTGCAGCTTACCACTTCAGGCCTGACACTATTTTGCGAACCTTCACAGGCTCAAACGCAGCAAACAGCTGCAGGATCTGCTCCTGAAAAAAATGGAAACGTAACTGTTAGGTGTCACATCTCCGAGCCCTTTCCAGAAAAATGTCTAATGAGAGCAGGAAAGAAACGAGTCCGATACCCCAATTTTCCCCACACCTCATCCACTTTCTTCGCTTCAATTCTAGGAACGAATCACAAGATAAAATACGTACGCAGCCTATTATTCTTCAACGGGATACGAGTTCACCAGCAAGAAAAACCATGGTTGCACATCACTAATTGCCCTTGAACTGAGTTGTTCACTTGGCCATTTCAGATGTTGACAGCCCCAATGCTGCAAGATAGACGGATAAGGACAGCACACTTCTTCCCTAAAGGGCAGACGGACAGGGTAGAAACAGAGAGAAAGACCGTGGGGAGGGTGAGTGAGGGGACAGCCCAGGGAGGGTGAGCAAGGGGGGAGAGCAAACAAGAGAGAGTAGCAGGGACGGCAAACAAGGGAGGACAGCAGGGTGGGCAAGTGAGGGGAGAGAACAAAGTGGGGAGAGAGGGAAGGATGAGCAAG